AAGAACTCAGAGCAACTTCACACCCCGGTGAGAAGTATGAACAGCTCCAGGACTTGCTCCGGTCGACGATCCCGAGAACGCATGAAGAGAGAGCCCAATCAAGACTACCCGCTAGATCAACAACCCACAGGCAAGAAGATCAAAATCAAAGGAAGTCCGCTTTCGAAAGACTTGGGCCAGGTGGAAGTCATAACGGAGAAAGTAGGAAGGATCATAATCAAAGCCACCGATTTGAACAACCAAGAAAGACCAGGAGTAGGGCGCCTACCCAGACAGCCTCGCAGAATTATTTCCATCAAAACAACAGTTGGCCAGAAGGAGGTGCCGAATCAGAATTCAAAGAAGCCGAAACGCACGATAGATTCCCCTGTTTCGCGAACAGGCTTGCATCAATACGATTACCTCACAAGTTCAAACCGTCTAACCACTCTAAGTATGATGGCAAAACTGAACCAAGGCAACGGCTCAGAATATATTCACAATCAATTGAACTAGCCGGAGGAGACGACGATATCAAGACCATGTTCTTTCCCATGGCACTAGAAGCCATGCCCCTCCAATGGTTCGACAAATTAAATCCAGGATCTATCAGAAATTGGGAGGACTTGCGAAGAGCTTTTTATGAAAATTTCGCAGGAATCATTACGCACCCAATCACTCATGCAGAACTGAAAGGACTCAAGCAGAAGGGAGGCGAAAGTCTCAGAAATTACTATCGACGATTCGGTGAACTACGGGCTCAAGTGCATGACATCACCGAACGAGAAGTAATTGAAGCTTTCTCTCACGGAATCATGGCTAGGTGGCAATTTCAAGACTTCTGCAAAGAAAATCCGAGAAACAATGAAGAATTCAGACGAACAGTAGAAAAGATGATTATTGCAGAAGAAAAAACACAAGAGAGGTTCCCGGATAGAAGCAACCAGGACAACCCGAACTAAAGAGCAAAATGGCTGAAACATGCCTGAGCCTACCGGCCGAGAGCAAAATAGCTGAAAAGATGCTTGAGCCCGCCGATGAGGATAGCTAATAAGCTAACACCCGAACCAAAGAGCAAAATGGCTGAAACATGCCTGAGCCTACCGGCCGAGAGCAAAATAGCTAAAAAGATGCTTGAGCCCGCCGATGAGGGTAGCTAATAAGCTAACACCCAAACTAAAGAGCAAAATGGCTGAAACATGCCTGAGCCTACCGGCCGAGAGCAAAATAGCTGAAAAGATGCTTGAGCCCACCGATGAGGGTAGCTAATAAGCTAACACCCGAACCAAAGAGCAAAATGGCTGAAACATGCCTGAGCCTACCGGCCGAGAGCAAAATAGCTGAAAAGATGCTTGAGCCCGCCGATGAGGGTAGCTAATAAGCTAACACCCGAACTAAAGAGCAAAATGGCTGAAACATGTCTGAGCCTACCGGCCGAAAGCAAAATAGCTGAAAAGATGCTTGAGCCCGCCGATGAGGGTAGCTAATAAGCTAACACCCGAACAGCATGGATCAGGGAAAATTCAAGATGAGACCCTCTAGCTCCTTGTACCAAAAAGCAAGAGGCTCGGGGGCTACACTGAGGACACTTGAGATCACAAAGTCTGTCAAGGCAACGGTCTACACCGAGTTGTTTTATACGGCAAAGGCGAAAGCCAGACAAGAACTCAACAGATCAAGAAAAGTTGTCAACATGCAGGGTTGTTTACATGGCAAAGACGAAGGCAAGACCAAGTACTCGGCGAGTCGAACAACTCTGATCACTTGGACAACTCATCCAAGGAATAAACAAGGCAACCAAGCAGAGGAGGTATCAACAAAGTATCTTCATTCAAAAAAGAATATAACTACTCTGTTATAAAAAATCAAAAGTACAGAGGTCGATTATGTTCAAGCATCATCATCAGGAGAGGAGATAACAACATTAAGATTATCTACAACTCTACTGGCTAAGTCTTTGACCTCAGGCTCCATCCGCTCAACGGCGTCAATGTACTCTTGACTATCGGCTTCCTCTGCTATCTTGGACAGAGGCGCCTCTGGAGCAAGAACCCGGACCTGAGTCAAGACATCTTGGTACACAGTTGGGCGCACCTCTTCATGAACTTTTGAAAACGAGTCGGAATTCAGGGAATCAACTGAGCCCAAGATTGCCCATCGTCCCACTGGAGTTGAGTCGTCGGCTCATTGAAGCGAAAGGATTTCCATAAAGCTTTCCAGTTCTCGGTAGCCGCCGCCAACTTGCTGAGATAAGTCTTCAATAGTTCTTTGAGCCAAAGACAAGATCTCTGTCGACTCCACGCCTAATCGCCTTAGCAAGGGCGAGTTCTTCCTCAAGATGAGTAATTACCTCCCTCAAATTTTGTTATGACTAGAGCGGACAAGAGCCTTCATTTCATCGATACTCTCCGAGAGCTTTTGCTTTTCAACTCGGGGAACTAGACAAGGCACCGAAAAACAAGTCAGCAAAAAAAGAAGTCAAAATACAAGAAGAAACAAGCAGAACTCGCGACACCTTTGCACTCGTTCTTCACAGACTCCACCGCGGCATCCCTCTGCTTCTCCGTCTCTACTACCCGGGCACGAAGGGTCTTCTCCTCCTTTTGGTGCATTTGACGCTCTATCTCCAACTCAGCCCGGAGGAGGTCAAGATTGGCTTTCAGAGCGTTCACCTCAGAAGACAACTTTTCTCATTTTAGATGAGAAAAGAAGCCGTAATGATCACGAGAGAAAGACTGAGCAAGAAGAGACAAAGAAAAACAAGGCATAAGGACAGAAGAAAAACGAGCATCCAAAGGAGGAGTGGCAGTAAAACTTACCTGGAGCTTTTCACCAAAAGAAGCCGGACTGAGATATACCCAAGCTCTTCTTGATAAAGAACCCGGGAACATGCTCGGAGACCTTTCAACGAAGATCATGCATGTCCAGAAACAACTCAGATTGATCGAAAACAACTCATATATTATGTCACTAAGCTCGGGGGCTCGGCCTTCGTTTCAACTACTCCCGGAGGCTCGGAATCAAAGACAAAGGACCAAGAATACAAGAAACTCAAGACTACAACGATGACAACACATCAAGACCCTTCTTCCGATTTCTTTTCTAAAGAAAAGAACTCGAAGAAGGCTCGGGGCTGCGGGATGCATAGCCCCAGAATTTTTTGAAGACAAGAATCTGGACCCTCCAACTTTTGCAAGCAAAAGCAAGAGGCTCGGGGGCTACACTCAGTGAGTGCAATTTTTACGAAAAATTGCACCCACCTAATAAGAACTCGGATATAGTATGCTCGAGAGCCCTTCAACAAAGAATCAGAGCAATTTCAGGACAAGACCCTCCAGCTCCTTGTTCCAAATAGCAAGAGGCTCGGGGGCTACACCCAGATGGGAGTACTTTTTTCTTTAAAAAGCACACACCACTCGAAGATTCCAAGAAGCGCTACATGGTTTCACTCAAGAAAGCACTCGGGCGACGCTTGTTCCTGCTCGGCAGGACCTGGAGGAACAAGACAAGGCTTCCGGAGTTCAACCATAAAGTGCTCGGGGGCTTGTCGGTGCGGGACCCACAGGATACCCCACAAGGAAGAGAGAAGATCTAGTCTAACTAGGATTCTCCCCATATAATCTTAGTAGTAGTAGTATTTTGTAATCCTATTAGGAACTCTCATTGTAAACCGACTAGGAATCTGACCTCCTGACTATATAAAGGAGGGCAGGGTTCCTAGAGAAGGGAGATCAGGATTTCTACAACACAATCAATCCAACGCAAAGGCTAACGCCGACTGGACGTAGGGCTGTTACTCGACCACAGTCGAGGGCCTGAACCAGGATAAATCGACTGTCTCTTGCGTTCACCGTCGAGTTCCGCATACGTTGAAGCCCGAACAATACTGCCTCGGGGACCCCCGTGGCAGGCTATCGGTGGTGAAACATCGACAATGGTGCATGCTGTATCTAATTAACAAGACTCTTTTAGACCTTGGCACCACATGCCTACGTCACCTACTACCAGGCTCGGGGACTAAGTGGGCACACTTCACCTTGCGGTGAATGTGCTCGTTCTGATGATTCAAACGCCTCCGATTCTACAAGGACGACCGTGTCTCTTTTCAACTCAGAGTCAAAGTGGGCACACTTCGAGGGAAATATTTTTCAAATTTTATTTTGAGCCCCTTACATCCTTCTAGCAAGCTCAAGACGGCGCTACTCGAAGGATAAAAGGCGCTCGGGGACTAGCTGTGGGGGTATTAACCACTATACCCTTACGGCTAGGTTTGGACCGGCCTGGACCAGGGGGTCCGGCCCACTAGAAGACGACGCGTGGCCCAGCCGATCTGCTCGGAGTCCCGCACAAAGAATCAAGGCAGACTTGAAGATCAAGCAAGATCCTGGTCCGTTAGAATAGGAATCCTTATCCGACCACCTATGGCAATTGTAATTAGTTGGGATTAGTTTCCAGATCTGTAACCCTGCCCCCAGACTATATAAGGCGGGCAGGGGACCCCTCTCGAAAATCATCTCATTTACATACAGCAATACAATCAGACGCAGGACGTAGGTATTACGCCTTCACGGCGGTCGAACCTAGATAAAACCTCATGTTTGTCTTACGTCACCATCTCGTTCGTAGCTTGCGCACTTGTCTGCCGATAATCTACTACCTTGGGCATACCCCTAAGTAGACTGCCGACCATATTTTGTCGACAACTACTAGAATAGAAAATTTACTCTTGATAGTCAAGGCGTTGAGCATCCTGTAGTCAACACAAAACCACCACGTACCATCTTTCTTGCGGACCAAGAGCACCGGGGAAGAGAAGGCACTCGAGCTCGGCTGTACCATGCCTGACTACAGCATCTCGGAGACTTGTTTTTCAATCTCATCCTTGAGCGCCGACTTGTAACGGTACTGACAGATAGCAACTGGAGGAGCACCAGGAACCAAGGGGATCTGATGGTTACATTGACGGCGAGGTGGTAGTTCAGACGGTTCTTGGAACAGCTCAAAAATTCTTCAATGAGATGCTAGATGGCTAGAGGAAGCTCAGGTGGTGCAGGTGAAGGTGCGGAAGCAGTAATGTGACAAAGTTGCATGATAGAATGCTGATCTAAATCCGGCAACAGGCCCTGAAGGACAACATGGTGCTGGCCATAAGGAATGCCCATCCACTTGTGTTGCCAATCAACCCTCATAGGTGAGAAGGCCTCTAACCAATCCATACCGACAATCATGTCATAGGAGCCCAACTGCAAATGCACAGAGTAGAGTGGAAACTGTAGCCTTGAACTGATCATTCAGCGCTTCTAACTTCGGCAGAGCAGAGAATAGAGCCCCCATCAGCCACTCTTACTGTCATTGGTTTAGGAAGAGGCCTCAGGTTTGGCAGACCGGTTGCAAGGCAGGAACTCAAGAAGGAATGGCTACTTCTGGAATCCACCAAAATGATGACGTCACGGCCCAGCAGTGATCCTTCAAATTGCATTGTTCTGGGAGCAGCAGAACCAGAGGCCACAACAGAGGATAACATCATGAAAGCCTGAACATCGGTGGGTTGTTCAGCATCTTGGAGAGGACTATCGGTAGCTTCCTAGAATGCCTCGAAACACAGGTCCCAGATTTCTTGAAGAGCATGAACTTGTGGAACTGGCGCACACCGATGGCCTGGAGCCCACTTGTCGCCGTAGCGAACACAGAGTCCACGAGCTCGACGATAAATTCGTAGTGTGGATAGCTTGTCATCGATGGAAGTAGACTTGTTTGGTACTCGCTTCTCAGCAACTAGATCAAGAACAACTTGGGGACGCCTGGGTGGAAGAGGCAAGGGAAGAGCACCCTTGATTGTTGCCGTGCGAGCGAACGGTGACGCTTCCGAGCACTTGAATTCCTTGTGGATACCTTGGTCCAGCGCCTCTTCCTGTAACAAGGTGAGAGTATAAGCAGTATCGAGGTTTTGGGGACGAGCAACCATAACAACAGACCGAATGTCTTCGCGTAAACCATCAACGAAGCGAGTAGTAAAGTAGAGTTTATCAGGGTTAGGATTATAGGCTTTGAGCTGTTCAAAAAGATTAGTGAACTGTTCGATGTAATCAGAAATGGTGGAGGTGTGTTTAATGTGGAAAAGCTGGCGTAAGAGCAGCTCATGCTGATCACGGCTTCTCTCATGGATGAGGTTAGAGAATGACTCCCAGGATATGTTCTAAAATTTAGACTCGACAGACTGAAGCCAGCGAGCTACGACATGGGTGAAATGGTGAGTGGCCACGCGAACCCAGATCGCTGGATGAACCGAGTACATTTTGAAATGGGAACGAGCACGGGACAGCCACAGCTTAGGATTATCCCCATCGAATTGAGGAAACATCTTAGGGAGTTGGCCTAAATTGGGATTGGCGTGGTGGGGAAAGTAATTAGGCTGATGTGAATTGGGTATGGAATTGGGAGAATATTGCGGTGGTGGAAACGGAAGCAGCGGGTAGTATGGAGGCAGGATGGGTTCGGCGGTGGTGGGGGAGGCTGAGGAGGGTACGTAAGCGGTGGCAGAGGGGGAGGATATGGTGGTGGGGGAGGAGGAGAATGGAACTGTAACGACGGAGGAGGATTGGGAGCGGGTAACGTACCATTGGCCGGGAACGGGGCTATGGTCGTGACCGAACCATACCCCGGATCCCGTGTTGGTGAGGCCACGTCGTGCACACTGGGCCAGTCGGTTGTTGCTCCGGCAGGTGCTCGCCCGGCGACCAACTCCAGAATACCCTTGGGCTCGGGAGATCCATCGTTAGGAGCAACACTGGATCGATCCTAGAGCTTGGACAACCGATCCACCTCCGATCGAATGGTGAAGAGGGAGCTCTCGATCCGGGGACGCCAGGCTGCGAACGCCTCCGAGGCGGACTCGAGGGCGGTGACCCACTCGTCGCGCTCATCCTGGATCTCGACGTAGCTCACCATCTCCAGATCATGGACGCGCCCCTCCAGCTCGCTGACACGTTCGGAGAAGTGGCCGCCCTAGTTGTCGGCGACGATGGCGGCGGTGTACTGGGCGGAGGCGAACTGCTCCAAGGAGTCGAGGCGGCGGTCGACGGTGGAGTCGTGCTCGGAGCGGACGGCCTCCGTCTCGGTGAAGCGCCGATCCAAGCGGGCACAGAGACCGTCAAACTTAGAGCGGAAAGCGTCGAAGCGGTGAATCAAATCGTCGAACATAAAACAATCAATAATGGAGCTATACCGTGACAGCAATGGGTTGTCCAACCTGAACATCTTTAGAACCTTCAGGTGCTAAAATCTTGGCCAGATACCTGAAGAATTAAAGGGGTAAGGGTAAACACAAAAGGTGTGTGCAGGATACAAAAACATTTGTGATAAGAAATGATGAATAAAAGAAGAAAAATTTGATAAACATAGATTACATGAATGTGTGGACAGCCAGCTGGGATCCTACAATACTAAAGAAAAAAAACTGAAACCATAATTATTTAGGCCCTGTTTGGTTCCCCAAAGACTAGGGATTAGAGACTAAATTTTAGTCCCATTTAGTCCCTAAATTACCAAACATAGGGACTAAAAGAAGGACTAGTAGTCCCTAATCCACTAGCCTCTCAAGAGGAGCTAATTGGGACTAATGGTCCTGGTGTAGTCCCTAGTCCTAGGAACCAAACAGGCCCTTAATCTAGCGGTGCCAGTTTCTGTTCCTGGAGCATTATCACGTGTTTCGTCCATGAATGGGGTTCTAATGAAAAGAATCTATTCATGAGATTACAACATCATGATAGAAAATGCAAACTTGGGAATGTAACATCACAATAATCAAAGTGATTGAAACATTACAAATAACATCTTAGAAACTTCGCCAAGGGCATTACCCCTCTTCAAGGCTTTCAAACTCAAGAGTGGCTTTATCAGTTTCTATCTCACATATCACATCACCAACCTCAATCTGCAAACAACATAAAGTTTAATGATACTGTTCTCAGAACTAAATGAAAAACGTAGGAAACCCTAAGCTGGAAATAGGATATTCTTGTTGAACTAAAAAAATTAACAGTTAGCAGAAGCATAACCTTGTCTCCTTCCTGTTTTCTCCATTTCGCGATGTTACCTTGATTCTAATGAAAACTGTGTCAGAATACCATGCAGAAATACAAAAGAGTGAAAGACACAAGGCAAACAGCATGTATCAATGTATTACTAAGATAAATGCTTAAAGATTTTACCATAGTAGGAGATAGTGCTGGCATTCCAACCACCAGATGTGGAGGAAGCCCTGAAAAAAAAAAGATAAGCACAAATTAACAGATGTGATAATTTAGTTGTAATAAATATGAAAAAATTACAAGTAATGAGGTACAAATGGATGTGATTCATCAGCGCAATATGTTCACAGAACAGGATCTTGCTTAGGACATTTCTCTTGAATGGGTTAATTTTGTAGAAATCAATTGTTATTGCAGCACACAATACTGCATAATGGCATAGGTGACTGCATGAGGTTCTTTCCTTTGTCCAGTAAATTACATTGCAGAACAAAAGGAACATAGTAAATCATATATAAGTTGACAAGTACACGAGATTTAAGCTAGCAATCTAAGTACACATCTTCTGTTGATTCCAAACCACAGGTAGATGAGTTCGAAGACTTGCACAGCATCAAAGGTACAGAATGAAGTTCATAAGTTACGGAATAATCTTCTGTATGTTTATCTCTGATGTCAAATTAACAATATCAGACATGTGGTTATACCTGTAGATGAGAACCAGCGGGCTGGCATGGGGATCTGCAATAAGGACGCTACATAAGTATGCAGTTAGCAATTTTAATGGATGATGAAAAGGATTAGTGTTTTGGGCCCACCTTGTAATGTGCGCCCAGAGATGCTAGAAGTGATGGCCTGGAAAGAAATCATACTTTTTATTCCAACAATCTTCAATTGCAAGTAAATAAACTACACAAGTGTTGGTCCACATTCACAATTTAACAGTTATCCTTAAGAGTTAAAATTTGTGCCAGCATGAGTCCATGTAGTGACAAACAACTAACACAACAGTAGAAAACCAAACAATCCCTTGAGGTGAAGTATACAATCTGCCTGCCTCTGCTAAGGAACCCCTTGCCCGCGACAAGCTGTGGGTGGTCAACATTACACATGGTCAAATAGCTGTCTCGAAAAGCATCAAAATCTGCATAAATTCGTCAGCAGCATCGATCATCTAAAAAAACTTACCCGACCAGAAGTGCACGAATGTTTGCCATCTTCCCGCAGAAAAAGACCCCTGACACCAGAATACGCAAAATGTGTCACAAAACAAAAGGAGCAGCAAAGAGGGGGTGGAATTCAGTTGGGCACGAAAGTATTTTGTGAAATACTACAATCTCTAACACTAACATGGCCACGCATGGATGGGCGGATTGAAACATTAGTGGCAACAAACAAACACTACGGTGCCACACAAATCCGCACCAAAACAATAAATCTAAATTTGACCAGGAACGGAACCAATCTCGTGCCTCCAACAAAGGAATCCGGTCCCCAGTCAAGCGGGAAGGAAGAGATCGCTACTCACCGGGACGGACAGATCCCCAAGCCCGCTCGAGCGAGAGAGGAACAGTGGCCGTCAGTGGAGGATCCGGAGGAGAGGAGGATGACTACGGCGGGGCGAAGCCGGGTGAAAGGAAGGGTTCGGCGGCGCCGGGTTGGATGCCCCCCACCACCAGCGCGGACGAAGACGAGCAGGGGAACCCGGAGGGGAGGCAGGTAAGGGCTGCCAACGAGCCGAGCTCGAGCGAGTAGCCGAGCCGCTACCGGTGAACCTGACACGGGGTCCGTCGCGCAGCTCTGGCTCTGTCTCTTGGAGAGTCGGGCTTGGATCGAGCCTGCGACGAGCCGAGCCCAAGTAGCTCGCAAGCCTCGAGCCATTTCTTTATAGCGCCAAGCAAGAAGCAGGTTTGGTTTTTTTTTGGAGGAGGCTGCGAATGGCGCGATCCTCGACGTCCACTACTACCAACACACGTACGCGATCTCTGAGCTTGATGTCTAGGATGATCCCTCGCCTCTCAGTTCGCCATTCGCCATCTCACCACGGCCCACGGGCGACAAATTTGCAGTAAAAAGAAATCCAAAAGTCAAAGCATGAATTCAATTTGTCTTTGGCCTTGGCCATGTACTGATGTACAGTGATATGAATATCTCTTCTTCTTTTTTTGGGAAAAGTGATATGAATATCTCGAGAAACACATACACGGCACCTTATTATTTGGCCGAGAGAATTTGCAGGGAAACGGCCGTAACGCACGAGTCCAAGGGGTTCAAATTTCTCTTTTGGACACGTGGAAATTCAAAGAGGTAATTCGAGACTGGAAATACCATTAAGGCCTCTTTGAAACAGAACACAGGAATAAAAAAAACATATGAACGAAATATGCTAACGCTTTTAACCCTACAAGATTTCAAGACGGAAGAAAGTTTATGAATGTGGGCTTTAGAAGCAATGTAGAAAAAGCACAAGGAACAAAACAATAAGGAGCTTGGAGCTCATGTTTCATTTTCTCCGAAAGTTCCTTTAGGCCAGTCCCAATGAGTAGTTTATGGCGTTGTTGTTTCCAAGACTGCCATGTCATATAGAATAAAATGAAATTTGAATGAAACCTCATCCCTTGATGTAAAGTTTCATAAAGAGTTGGTAATCATGTCAAGAGAGTTTTTATCTAAATGACACTCATTTCTTCTCTCTTTTTAAATAAACTGTCATGTCAACAAAAATATCTATATGGCAGCCTATTTAATGCAAATAAAACTTATATGAAACTTCCACTAAAACTGGCCTGAGTAAAAAACTTCCACTAAGACTGGCCTGAATACTCGCTTGGTCACCGGTATACTAAAAATAAGTAGATTTCTAAGAGGGCATCCTACCTTTCAATTTGAATAGCCATCTATTTTAATAATAGCTTTTTTTATTGTTTACTCCAGCAGTTGTACCCAAATCAAACCCTACAAATTCATCGAGACTGTGATATGTGAGACCTAGGTGTCATCCTTTTCCTTCTTCCTTCATCACCATCTCTAGCGCAGAGCACCGGAGCGGTGCTACCCAAGTCAACCCCCCTCCACCAAAAAGAAAAAGAAAAAGAAAAAAAGAAAACACTCCAAACTTTCAAGAGGCCGATTCAATCAAGTATTCAGAAGGCAGTCTCCACCAAATAATAAGACTAGTACGAAACCGGTACGAGGTTAAGGGTTTTAAAGCACGAAACGAGTAAAGAGGATATTACAATGATTGTTTAAGCCCCTTGGGGTCAGTCACGCTTACAAGTCCTGAGTGGTGCTAGCTAGGAAAGAGTATGTAGCAACAAACTAAACTGGCGACCCTTCAGCTGAGGAGCCAAAGAGCGACAGGCAACTTGGAGCTGGCCACCACACCCAGCTGTTACACGCCAAGGCCGTGCTTCAGATCCTGAATGGCAAGAAAAAAGAATGGTATAAACGTAGTGAGGAGAGATGTTTTAGAAGGGCTTACAGTAATAAAAGTACATAAAACTCTTGAACCATACATGCTACTCCCCCCATTCCAAATTATAAGATTTTTTTTTTCTAGATTTGTAAGTTTTGCTATGCATTTAGATATACACTGGTAAAAAAAACTATGTATCTAGAAAAGTCAAATTGTGTTATAATTTAGAATAGATGGAGTACAACTAAATGCAAACAATGGGGAACGAAAACCTTAGTGCTTAAATCATGCTGTTACCTAAATTAAGCCACATCAAACTAATTGTCCTGTCCAGTGTGCTCTCAGAGTGTCCAAAACTCATGCAGTAGGGATCTAGTGCTTATGCTTCTACTATTGATGTTATTGACTAACAGTAGGGATCATAATCAATACTATTTAGCATTATAAATGTGTCTTGGCTCATCGTATAGTCCAAATTACATATGCAAAGAAAAGGGTTTTTCTCTCATGATAGAGTAGCACAACACATTTATGCAATTACTGAATACAAATAATGCAACTCAAAGCAAAATGCATCGATCAAATAATTACACAGAATACAGATGGAACTTCGAATATAGCTTTACATATTTGCCATTGCAGTCTACTGATGAGCACACAAAACAGTATCTAAAAGGACTTACTTCGAAATTCCCAGTTATGTGTAGCCTCTTTAAAGCATTTCCTTGATGGATAGTGTCTCGGTGAGACTCCAGAAACCTCGGGCGTTTCATGGCTGCCAAAAACAGTAAACCATAAGACAATGACTCGATAGCAACATTTACAGTAGCTTAATTAACTTATAATTTGGAACGGAGGGAGTAATAATTTCAGGGACCAAAGGTGCAGGTGGGGGATCACACACCACATTTGAATCAGTCCTGCAGTTAGAAGATGCAGCTTAATTACTGTATAAAACACAATGCATCTTTACCTTGGTTGGATGCATGTTCAGGCCCATGTCCTTGTTCTATCTTCATGCGCTCAGCTATAGATTTATAAGCATGCAAAGCCTCAAATGGAAAAACTGCAGGCAAGTAACAATATCAGCAATCGAGGGCGGAGCTTGTTTTTAACGGCAGAAATTACAATATTACCTCCTCTGGAAAAATATTCAGGTCTATGGCCTTGATTGAGCATCATAGGCTGAACAGCTTGAAAAACTTTTCTGAATATTATAAGAGATAAACTATTAAGACAAGAATAAATCGATGGACCAGAAGCTTGCCACAGGAACATATCTAATAAGTAATGGGTGCGGGTCTTCCCCCGTTCAGATCAACTCTAATAGATGCAGCTTAATTTTGAAATTTAGAAAATACAGTGCATGTTTACCCTGGTTGGATGCATGTTCAGGACGATGTCCTTTTTCCATCATCATGTGGCCAGGTATGGATTTACAGTCGTGCGCAGTCTTGAGTGTAAAAACTGCAGAGAAACAACAATATCAGCAATTGAGTGTAAGAACTGCAGAGAAAACAACAATATGAGCAAATCTGAAGCTGGAACTTGTTTTTAATAGCAGAAAATACTATATTACCTCCTCTGGATAAATATTCAGATGGATGGCCTTGTTTGAGCACCTTGCGCTGACCAGCTCGCAAAACTTTTTCTGAATATTTAATGAGCTTTCCAGTCAATCGCCAAAAGAAGTGGTTTTGCAAACGGGACTTTGTGATACAGTTGGGGCAGTTTTCAAGTTAGGCCAGTTTTCAGGCATTGAAGATCCAATAATCTAGTATACATGCTTTCAGCTAACTCTGAAGATCGCATTAGTTTTCTAGTCATCACAAGCAAACGAATTTCAAGTGATTTTGCCACAAAATAGAACATTGTATCTAGCAACGCAAGCGTGCAAGCTTGGAAGATCAAACAGAATCATTTGCATAAAAGGGTGTTTTATGCAACCAAAACATAGCATCATTCTTCAGCAAGTAAATAAATTTTAGACACCACAGCAACGAAAAAAGATAGAGAAGGACCTGGCTCAGCAAAATACAACATGGGGACATATACTTGGTTTGGCAAGTGATCGAGCTAAAGGCAGAGACAGATGGCAAACTAGATGCACGTACCAAATAGTTGTATCAGCAGCACTCCCAATTTCCTTGGTGAAATTGCTGTTGAAAATGTCGGTTGTTAATCAGCACAGCTGTATATCACAAATTAAACATGTCCTACAGTTGGTGTGTGATGCTAAAAAAGGTGATGCTCCTACTCAGAGGTATCCCATAACATTATAATACCTGAATAATCATGACAGTCCATCTGAGCTGAAGGAACCAACCTGCACAAACCAGCATATATGTAGCACAGATCTGTGTATATAAAATAAGCAGAGAAAACAACTACACAGTGCAGGGTTTCAGCTAGAACTCTTTCAATCAATGTGCATGATGTACCTCTTCTTCATCTCAAGATAGACCTTTGCAACATCTGTTGCTTGCTTCTTGCTGCCTACTTTCTTCACTTGACGCCTTGGACGGAAGCTAGCAAAGATTAGATCACAAAGGCAGCAGTCAGACAGTTGGTTGAGTGACATTATGCAGTGGAGAACGAAGCTTATTGCACCCTGGCGCGCGCGCGCACGCGCACACACACACGCACGCACCTGCACCTAATGGGCATTACGTCGTACAGCTCGTTCTGGGCGAGCGGGTAACGCGTCATCTCCTTGAGCTCAGGCATCTCAGAAACCATCTGCTCGACCAGCTCCGCTGCCTTGTTCCTGACGAGTTGCCAGTCCAGAGTGTTCCTGCAGCAAGCATATATACGGGACATTCGTTCGATCGCTCATCACATTACATATACTCATATAGATCGATGCAGCAGCACAAGCCACAAGCTAGATGTAAGAGAGAAGCGTAGGGTATTACCTGACATAAAGTGTGCGAAGGGAGAGGACATCGGTAACAAGGGCGACGAGGCAAGGACACTCAGAGAGCGCAGCACGATGCCTGTACAACTTTATGAACCAGTCGCGGACGACACCTTCCTTGGCTGTGTCGCCGTCGGCGAATCTGTGGATGGCCATGAGGTAATGGAGGAAGAGCGTGAGGAGTCCAGCGTGGCTGCTCAATTCCCAGATGGGTGCGAAGGTCCTGACGTGGTCACACGCCTCCTCGAGCTGGCCTGCCTTGATCCGCTTCACCAGGTCCTCGACGTCGAAGATCACACGCAACTTATTTTTGGCCCTGCGATGTTAACCAGAGGATCGATCAGTCATACACTCATACGCATTCATTCGCAAGAGGATTTTTGGTGGGTGGGTGTGTTGGGGGTTGAGATTGAGGGCATACACATGGTAGATCTGGTCGTAGCAGTTGTCCCGGAGGTACGCAAGGAGCCGGCGCCAACGGAGACGCTCCGTGCATGGGTAGTCCGGGATGTAGTCGCAGTCGCACTGCTTGCGCTTGCCGGAGGCTGC